ATCTCCTCTAGAGCAGTGATGTTTTGGGGCTGTCGCTGGGCAACACGGACTTTCAACTCCCTCCAAAGATTTTCTATGGGGTTGAGATCTGGAGACTGGCTAGGCCACTCCAGGACCTTGAAATGCTTCTTACGAAGCCACTCCTTCGTTGCCCAGGCGGTGTGTTTGGGATCATTGTCATGCTGAAAGACCCAGCCACGTTTCATCTTCAATGCCCTTGCTGATGGAAGGAGGTTTTCACTCAAAATCTCACGATACATGGCCCCATTCATTCTTTCCTTTACACGGATCAGTCGTCCTGGTCCCTTTGCAGAAAAACAGCCCCAAAGCATGATGTTTCCACCCCCATGCTTCACAGTAGGTATGGTGTTCTTTGGATGCAACTCAGCATTCTTTGTCCTCCAAACACGACGAGTTTAGTTTTTACCAAAAAGTTATATTTTGGTTTTATCTGACCATATGACATTCTCCCAATCCTCTTCTGGATCATCCAAATGCACTCTAGCAAACTTCAGACGGGCCTGGACATGTACTGGCTTAAGCAGGGGGACACGTCTGGCACTGCAGGATTTGAGTCCCTGGCGGCGTAGTGTGTTACTGATGGTAGGCTTTGTTACTTTGGTCCCAGCTCTCTGCAGGTCATTCACTAGGTCCCCCCGTGTGGTTCTGGGATTTTTGCTCAGCGTTCTTGTGATCATTTTGACCCCACAGGGTGAGATCTTGTGTGGAGCCCCAGATCGAGGGAGATTATCAGTGGTCTTGTATGTCTTCCATTTCCTAATAATTGCTCCCACAGTTGATTTCTTCAAACCAAGCTGCTTACCTATTGCAGATTCAGTCTTCCCAGCCTGGTGCAGGTCTACAATTTTGTTTCTGGTGTCCTTTGACAGCTCTTTGGTCTTGGCCATAGTGGAGTTTGGAGTGTGACTTTTTGAGGTTGTGGACAGGTGTCTTTTATACTGATAACAAGTTCAAACAGGTGCCATTAATACAGGTAACGAGTGGAGGACAGAGGAGCCTCTTAAAGAAGAAGTTACAGGTCTGTGAGAGCCAGAAATCTTGCTTGTTTGTAGGTAACCAAATACTTATTTTCCACCATAATTTGCAAATAAATTCATAAAAAATCCTACAATGTGATTTTCTGCATTTTTTTCTCTCAATTTGTCTGTCATAGTTGACGTGTACCTATGATGAAAATTACAGGCCTCTCTCATCTTTTTAAGTGGGAGAACTTGCACAATTGGTGACTGACTAAATACTTTTTTCCCCCACTGTAAGTACATTATTTACCTTCAGATGTGAATGTATCAAACCAGTTGTTGTGATAAGTATTTTGTTGTTGTGCACTCTCCTCAAACAATAGCATGGTATTATTTCACTGTAATTGCTACTGTAAATTGGACAGTGCAGTTAGATTAACAAGAATTTAAGCTTTCTGCCCATATAAGAAAGTTTGCTGTTACTTACAACAGTCATGCTAATCACATTAGCGCACGTTAGCTCAACTGTCCCGTTTACAGGACACCGATCCCGTAGAGGTTAAAATGGTCAAAAATAGAAAAAAAAGAGCTTCTTAGCAAAGAGCAATTTGTCAAGCAATAATTTTACTAGGACTGTCTGGAAGTGCTCTGAGTAGAGAGGGGGAAACTAGTTGTTATTGGCAGAGAGGTGTGGAACTCTCTTTCTTATTGGTCTATTAACTAATTTACAGCCTCAAATCTCCATCCCACCAAAACAGGCTGACATTTAAGGTGGTCTTTTCAAACAGCTCTTGCACTAAAAGGGCATTATCATCATTTTCACAATTTCACAGTATTATTCCATCCTCATAGTGTGGAAAAATATATAAAACACAGGAAAATCACATTTATGACGAAACTGGGCCTTTAACATAGCATATGGCTGAAGCAACAGTGATGTTAACTCTTTTGTCCCACAAGCCATTTGACCAGAGTGGATTCCTTTAAATTCATAAAATTGCAAATAATCTTTTTTGGGGGTGAAGCCAAATTATTTCTTAGTTAGTCATTTAGCAGATGCTCTTAAAAACTCAAGCATATCCCCCTATCTGTTATTTCAAGCCCATTGATAATTAAATTCATGATCTGTAGCTCCAACTATGACTTAATCCCAAATGAATGGGGAAAATAGCACCATCTAATTTCATCATTGATATTGCCTTTGCATTCTTTTGAGGTTGTGGCATATAGCTGGATGATCTACACAACATATGGCAAGAGCCATGAAAGTATTTACTATCAAAAGACTGCTGTTATAGTTAGTTCACCCAGAATCATATCCATAGTCACAGGAGGTTGGTGGCACCTTAATTTGGGGAGGACGGGCTCATGTTAATGACTGGAGAGGAATAGGTGGAATGGTATCAAATACATCAAACACAGGTGTTTGATGGCATTCCATTTGCGCCGTTCCGGCCATTATTATGAACCGTTCTCCCCTCAGCAGCCTCCTGTGTCCATAGTACAAGATACAGTACATCTTTCTTGAGAAATATAACAGAAATGTAACAAAAATAACATCATTTTCTGAGCTATGTATATTACATCTCTTGGCAATTTGTAAACACTTTACTGGTCAAACACATTAGCAGTTATCAGGTACAATGGATTTCTTAAAGACATTTATATAAACTGTCCTACTACTGTAAAGCAGGGATCCACAGAATGAGTTAAACCTTAATTCAAGAAACATATCAGCCATCAGTCACTAGCTACATGAACATGAGCTACACCTTTCAAATGGAACTGAGCTACACCTTTAAACTGAGCTACACCTTTAAACTGGAACTGAGCTACACCTTTAAACTGGAACTGAGCTACACCTTTAAACTGGAACTGAGCTACACCTTTAAAGTGGAACTGAGCTACATCTTTAAACTGAGCTACACCTTTTAAAATGGAACTGATATGCACTCTTTTGGAAGGCGAGGTTGATGGTGGGTCTTCTTGGGTGTGTGATGCCAGCAAGGCTGCATATCTGGACCCTGCTTGCACAAGTTTGCTATAGCTTATGGCAGTTGAGGTCAAAGTGATTAAATCATGCTGTAAAGTCAAACTGAGAATATGGATTTGAGTGTTAGACAAATCTAGTTTTATGACACACAGAAACTGAGACTCAATAGGCATGTAAAGAAGTAGAGTTTTTATTAAATTTGTATGTACTAAAATATACAAAACACTGACACCTGCCAATCCAGCGGCAACACGAACAGGAGAATGGGAACAGACCTCCATTCTCCCAAAATAACGTTGTTAGGGCCTGAACCAGGACCCTATGGTCCCAGTTAAAAGCCCATTCCAACACCGTAGGCTTTAGCCTACATGTTCGTCTAGGGACTGTTTGAAATGGGCACAGGCATTGAAATGTAGTTAATGGTCATCATAACCGAATGTTGGGTGAAACACCCTTTGGTAACCTTGGAGGACACATACAGTACTCAAAAGCAGTACAGGAATGTTCATTGAGACACGAACAGCACACTGCACTTTACATTTCCAGAAGTAAGGGTGCTTTAACTGTGCTATTCAAGATCAACTCCATGAAAAAGTAAAGAAATTAAACATCTTGAACATTTTGTAGAAAAACACAGTAAAAAGATGTTCAGTATAGGCTATTCTTTCCATACACTGTCAGACACTCACCAAAGAGTAAAATGTGTTTCTCATCTCTCCGTTTGCTTCACAAATTCAAATGAAAAGATATACCTTGAACCCATGCTTGGTATAAGCCTTCATCATGCCAATATGGAGCCCGTGTAATGAAGGCTTGGTCCCATGATAAGCTCCTGTAGTGAGATAATTTCCCAGTCCCTCCTGTTCAGCTGGTGTAGGCTGATACAGGGACCTGGAATGTTGTTGGTATAACCAAGCCTCTTTCACATAGATAGCTACTGTAATACCTTGAGGGGTGGTGGTCCCATCACCAGGTTTGGCTCAAATCCTGCTTGGAATGTACAATAGTCAAGCCACTTTCTAGTAGAAAGCAGAAGTAGAATGAGCCACAATGATAAGACAGCCATTAGAAAAACCAATTAGGTATTGGTCATGAGAAGATAGGAAAATTGAAGATTAATAATATCAATTAGCTGGATGCAGTCTTTGGTCCCTCTGCCTTTTGATTTACTTGCTTACTGTATATGACAGGTGCTCTACTAATTGCTTTGTATTGCAGCCCTTTTCACAAACTCTATGCTACTCACCTAGGCATTACTGTATCAAGCTCTTACCACAAACTTTAAGCTGTGATGCAGTCAACACTTTCTGTCATTCGGTAGTTTTCTCCATGGAACCTGATGTAGCAGCTTTAACTTTTCACCTTCAAATTGATAGGGTTGATGGTAGTATAGTGCAAAAATTAGTAAAGTACAACATCTACATACTAATGATAGTTCCAGTTTCATACCGTCAAAGGACATGGTTTCAAAACAGTCTTGGAATAAGCACAAAGTTGTGTTTGCATATACCTACGCATTCCAATCTTTCTGTGGATCCAAATCCCTTGTGAAAAGTGCCCTTTAAGCTCACTCTACTCTATAAGTCCTTCACAGGTAGAATGGCATACCATTACTCACACCTAATGTTGAGGAAATTCTATCCCTTCAACTTTAATTGTCCTTTGGTTTGTAATAATGATGTATTTCCCTAAAGGACCAATGAAGTTGAGCTGGAATGATTCTACAAGATAAGAAAAAATAAGAAAAAAAACAATAAATGTCTTTCTCCCAAAGTTTTTGGTTAAACTGCTGTGTCATAAAGAAACAGGGGCCTCCACAACGCCACCTGTCTGCGCCCTGTGGCAGTAAGTCTAACCACCAAGTCTTGGGTCAGAATCCCCTGTCACACAGTCCCTGCACAGGGGTGTCTGACCTTTTCCCAACCAGTTTTAGAGGGAATGCTTCCAAAGGTCAATAACCTGCAGAGGTTCCTGACGTTTTCCTCTTGGCCACACCTGTAACCTGTAAAGTGGCCTCCTGGCCACTAGGGGCCCTCCTCCATATCATCCAGGTTGGGCGCCATGATGAAGTGTTTAGGGTGGACCAGGCTGTGCTCATCTGCATGCTCCTCCCAGCGCACGTCGTCACTCTCGTGGGTGATATAACGCTCGCCACGTCGTGTCTCAAACTCCCTGAGGTCCAGCCACGTCTGGTAGTCCTGAGAGAGAGAGAGAGAGAGAGAGAGAGAGAGAGAGAGAGAGAGAGAGAGAGAGAGAGAGAGAGCGAGGAGAGGAAAGGAGACGAGACGAGACGAGAGGAGAGGAGAGGAGAGGAGAGGAGAGGAGAGGAGAGGAGAGGAGAGGAGAGGAGAGGAGAGGAGAGGAGTTACAGCAGAGATCCAATACAATGTCTGCCTTGTTCTAGGTCACATCATGAAATGTGTGTGAATGTTTTGTTAGATGTGCCTGTGCACTGCTTACAGTATAATTAGGCTATTATAATACCTGTAGCCAAGGATGGCTGAGGGACTTGTCCACACTGTACCGCTTCCTCATCTTCACTTGTAGGAGGTTGTTAATGAGATCTGTAGCTGTGAGATGAATAGAGACTTAATGTTAGTCTCAAAGTGAGAGGTAGACATGAAACATCAGTGCTGTCTTTCTACCCACACGTCTGGATCTACCAGCGTGGTTTTCATATCCTGTGGCTCTTTGACTTTTCTGTTGTGTGTGGTTTACATGAATCACTGACAACTCTCCCCAGCTGCCCCATCTAAATATCCCCCACATACGCCTACACTACTATATATGAAAAATCATAGTGCAACTTGGTATACAAGTGATAACTAAGACAAACTAACTTCCAGTTGCTTCAAATGACTGCTTGTTATATCACACTTTTGGTCTACTTCCTCAGCTGTATGACTGGACTCATTAGTTACGTTACACACTTTACAGAGATGTGTGTCCTCACTTGTCTTACTTAGCATTCATGCATTGAAATATTATTCAAACGGGGCTTCCTTCCTACCTTCTGCAGAGATCTCCTTCCATGGCTGGGGTGGGTACATGAAGGCAGCGTTCTGGATCTGGTCGTTAATGTCCTCGTCCTCGTTGAAGGGGAATGTCCCGCTGAGGCTGACGTAAACGATGACCCCCACTGACCACATGTCCAGGGAGCGGTTGTAGCCCTTACTACGCAGCACCTCTGGGGCCAGGTAGGCTGGGGTACCCACCACCGAACGCCTGAACGACTTCTCACCGATGATACGGGCAAAGCCAAAGTCACACAGTTTAACCTGCCAGGATACACAAACACACACGAGAATGCTACATTGTCTCCTCCATTCACATACAACCAATATTTTGCTAGAAAGATAGCAAACTTGTCTGACAGGTGAGAGGTTGCTGGTTGTTACCTGTGGGAAGGGCTCTGCTAAGGCCAGCAGCACGTTCTCAGGCTTCAGGTCACAGTGGACGATGTTCTTGAAATGCAGATGTCTCAAAGCCACCAGGATCTGTTACAGAACATAGCCCAACGCCCATGGGTTAGCGAGATCAGACCACATAATACCACATAATGATCTTCTCATATAACAGAATGGATTCACTCATAAAATAAAATGTAATGGATAATGAGAGCTGCATAAGTATTTTAGTAGTTCACTAAGCTATTTCTAGGATGGTCACTTTCTTAGTTTCTATATGGACACATGATCTCATCACATTTACATTTACATTTAAGTCATTTAGCAGACGCTCTTATCCAGAGCGACTTACAGTTAGTGCATACATTATTTATTTTTCATACCCCCTGTGGGAATCGAACCCACAACCCTGGCGTTGCAAACGCCATGCTCTATCAACTGAGCTACATCACTGTCTCATCTCTGCTGTAGTGTAAGCATCAACTGTAGCTGCTACCGCTGCACGCATGTTTAGCTGTGGTCCTCTAGCAACTCCATGCTGCTGCCTGACTCCTGACTTTGACAAAGTACTGATAAACCACATCAGAGCCGGGCCTGCTGCTGTTCATTTTCATGTGCAGCTCCATGCCTCATGAACCCGCTTCTGTTTGGGCCCCGAGGCCCCTCTCTTCTAATCAGCCCACAGACCAGAGACTAGGCAGCAGAGCAGAGCAGCGCACCACTACGGCACCGCAGGCTGTAATCCACCAGGAGGGACACGGCCATGATGCCATCCAGACCAGCATATCCCGTAAACAATCCCCCCGTATCCACACACCACAAGAGTAAACAGGCCCAGGGCTGAGTCTATTACAGCTAATATAGATTACCACACCACAAGAGAGAGGGGGAGGAAGGAAGAGAGAAAGTGGGTGAAAGATGAGGAAGGACAGAGAGATAGAGGGGAGGGAAGTTAGAGAGAAGTAGAGAGGGCAAGAATGAGAGATAAAGACAGACCTGTGTGACCAGGAACTTGGTGATGCGTTCTGGGAGCTTGCTCTTCTCACTGGACAGGATCATCTCCAGCATGTCTCCATGGAGCTTCTCCATGACAACAAACACCCTCTCAGGCGTCTCGAACATACACTCCAGGTTGACGATGCCAGGATGGTGAAGGTTCTAAACGAGGGAACAAACCTTTAGCTTCAACACGCCATACTGTACCACGTTACAGTTTCACTGTTTGAAACTCAGCAAGAATGACTACTGTATACATCTGACTGGTACAGCATGAGGTTCTATGTGTTACCTGGAGAATGGCCACTTCATTCCTCAGTTGGCTCTCCTGCTTGGTAGGAAACCTCATCTTGTCAATCACCTTGATGGCCACATCTCTTCCAGTCTTTCTGTGTTTCCCTGCCAACAGAAATAAAGAATGTGTCAATATGTACCTATACTGTATACTGTATAGTATCATAAAGATAGAGGTGAGTAACTGGCATAAAGTGGGTGTGTGTTTTGGTTTGGGTTGAGAGAATACAATATGTTTAGTTGCAATACATCAAAAAATTGACATCCAGGCACACACCTCCATACACAATCCCAAACTGTCCAGATCCTAGCACCTCATCAGAGAAGATCTGGTATACAGAGCTGATATCCTACAGAGAGGGAAACACTTCCGTATTACTGTAGTTTATTATCTTAAAGGGTATTACTAGTGCTAATATACATTAAACTGTGGATTTATACTGCTATAAGTTGGTTAGATGCTGTTGTATTGGGATGGTCATTGATATGACAAATGGGTCACTTTCACCCAATGCAGAAGTACAGTACGTATGAAAATCCCCCTTTCCCATAAGTGTATCAGTGACTTACTTAATTTGTTTTTAAATATATATATATATTGTTTTTACAATGGACATGCAATGTTTAATGGTCCATGAAGAATGCATATGTAGCAGAAAAAAATTGATGACCACACACACACACACACACACACACACACACACACACACACACACACACACACACACAGCTGAGAAATTGTGCAAGATTGTCTGAAAAAGTGACCACACTCACCACATTCTCCTGTATCTGGCAGTTGGACACAGATATGCTGATAGACAACTCTTGTTCTAGAGGGGAAAACCAATGCAGTGTCCACTTTAAACAACTGTACATTACAAATGCATAAAGGACCCAATGTATCCCTAACTAATCATAAACAGAGATGCATTTCTCACTTTCTTTCATGTCCTTCAAGCCTATCGCAGCTGCTTGGACTACACACAGCACACACAGTAATGTAGCATTTCATTGCACAATTATGACCCTGTATAATTGATTAGGGAAGATTTGTTTTATTGAATAGTTAGGGTTATGGGTGCCTCCTGAGGCCAATATGCAGTTCCCAAGTCATGTTTTGCCAAACAATAAAACATAATTGTATAATCAAATAATATAGTCTCAGCTTTCATCTTCTCTATGGACAACAAAGTATGCCCACCTGTACCTCACTCATTGGCTAAGAACCATATTGTAGGACTATAGGGCACAAGCCCTTGTTGTCATTTCAGAGTGGTTGGATATTGAGGGGTAGTGAGGTGGTGGGTCTCATCTGTTTAGCATTGCCACCCTCACCATCTTCTTTACACCAGGAGTCACAGCCAGACAAATGGCCTCCAGGGGCATATATGGGCTGGCAGGCAATGGCGCTCATTTAATCTCATATCCAATCTAACACAAATGATGAATAAACATTCTAACCTGCCATGGTGATGGTGGGCACTGAACCAGAAGTGTGTTTATTTCATAACCGAAAGGGAAACAAAGACCACTAGTCTGATTCGGCCATCTTCATTATTAGAATGTGCATTACTGTACTGGATGAGATGGAAGAGGAACACACACAGATAATCCCCTGAATCTACGTCAGGTGTAATGTGTTGTGCCCACAGGTGAGCGACCGGTTGAATGTGTCAAATTTTTAGTCATATTTTTAGTTTTTATGGGGGGGGGGAGAATAAAGAATCACCAGGAATTGAGCTAAACATTTCTTTAATTCAGGAAATCTGTTCACAAATATTCCCACAAATAAAAAAATTGATACAGTGAGGGAAAAAAGTATTTGATCCCCTGCTGACTTTGTAGGTTTGCCCACTGACAAAGAAATGATCAGTCTATAATTTTAATGGTAGGTTTATTTGAACAGTGAGAGACAGAATAACAACAACAAAAAATCCAGAAAAACGCATGTCAAAAATGTTATAAATTGATTTGCATTTTAATGAGTACTTGGTGGCAAAACACTTGTTGGCAATCACAGAGGTCAGACGTTTCTTGTAGTTGGCCACCAGGTTTGCACACATCTCAGGAGGGATTTTGTCCGACTCCTCTTTGCAGATCTTCTCCAAGTCATTAAGGTTTCGAGGCTGACGTCTGGCAACTCGAACCTTCAGCTCCCTCCACAGATTTTCTATGGGATTAAGGTCTGGAGACTGGCTAGGCCACTCTAGGACCTTAATGTGCTTCTTCTTGAGCCACTCCTTTGTTGCCTTGGCCGTTTGTTTTGGGTCATTGTCATGCTGGAATACCCATCCACGACCCATTTTCAATGCCCTGGCTGAGGGAAGGAGGTTCTCACCCAAGATTTGACGGTACAAGGCCCCGTCCATCGTCTCTTTGATCCTGTGACGTTGTCCTGTCCCCTTAGCAGAAAAACACCCCCAAAGCATAATGTTTCCACCTGCATGTTTGACGGTGGAGATGGTGTTCTTGGGGTCATAGGCAGCATTCCTCCTCCTCCAAACATGGCGAGTTGAGTTGATGCCAAAGAGCTCCATTTTGGTCTCATCTGACCACAACACTTTCACCCAGTTCTCCTCTGAATCATTCAGATGTTCATTGGCAAACTTCAGACGGGCATGTATATGTGCTTTCTTGAGCAGGGGGACCTTGCGGGCGCTGCAGGATTTCAGTTCTTCACGGCGTAGTGTGTTACAAAAATTTTTCTTCGTGACTATGGTCCCAGCTGCCTTGAGATCATTGACAAGATCCTCCTGTGTAGTTCTGGGCTGATTCCTCACCGATCTCATGTTCATTGCAACTCCACGAGGTGAGATCTTGCATGGAGTCCCAGGCTGAGGGAGATTGACAGTTATTTTGTGTTTCTTCCATTTGCGAATAATCGCACCAACTGTTGTCACCTTCTCACCAAGCTGCTTGGTGATGGTCTTGTAGCCCATTCCAGCCTTGTGTAGGTCTACAATCTTGTCCGTGACATTCTTGGAGAGCTCTTTGGTCTTGGCCATGGTGGAGAGTTTGGAATCTGATTGATTGATTGCTTCTGTGGACAGGTGTCTTTTATACAGGTAACAAGATGAGATTAGGAGCACTCCCTTTAAGAGTGTGCTCCTAATCACAGCTCGTTACCTGTATAAAAGACACCTGGGAGCCAGAAATCTTTCTGATTGAGAGGGGGTCAAATATTTATTTCCCTCATTAAAATGCAAATCAATTTATAACATTTTTGACATGCGTTTTTCTGGATTTTTTTGTTGTTATTCTGTCTCTCACTGTTCAAATAAACCTACCATTAAAATTATAGACTGATCATTTCTTTGACAGTGGGCAAACGTACAAAATCAGCAGGGGATCAAATACTTTTTTCCCTCACTGTATGTGATCATATCTCACCTTAACCAAGGTATGAAATTATTATTTTCAAATACAATCTCTTTTTACGCTTAGTTGTAGTATAACATTTATTATAATTACGTTCCAGCCCCCCGACCATCCAATCCGATCAAAAACACCCCGCCGCTGAATCTAGTTGATAATCCCTGCTCTAAAATCATCATCATCATCATTATCATAATAATGATGATCAATTTGATTGGGGTGGCAGGAAGCCTAGTGTTCAAATCCCAGCTCAGACGGGATAATCTGGTGCGGAGTGAGCCGACAACCGGAGGGTTGCTGGCATCATCCTAGATACCACCGCCTGCCGTTGTGCACTTAATCCCCTATAATTGATCCAGGGGTGCTGCACTGCGGCTGACCCATTGCTTCCAGCCCTTCGGAGGATGTGCGTTTCTCAGGCGTTTGGGTTGTGAGCATAAAGACACATTTCTGTTCTTTGTAAATTAATGAACAAAAAAGTATATCTTATCTTAAAAATCGTATGACTATCATCACAGGGGGGAAGAGGTAAACCCCGGCTTCTCAATTCAAGGCTTTGCTGTGTCTGTAGGTACAGTCATTTCTGATGATGCCATGTTTGTTATCTCAAAACAAGACTGACTGTTTTCTCACTTCAGAATATAACCTCACTTGACCTTAACTTGGAGATTCAAGCATTTAATGGGGATTCTCCTGACCCACTGCACACTAATGTAAAATATCAAACCACTAAATGACCGATATCTGCAATGACCAATTTTATGGGCTCAAATAGTACTATTTCCATCGCTCACATAATCTAATTTCATACCACCTTTCCAGTGCTAGTGCCAATAGCTCCAATATGTAAAATATGTCAGTGCTACCTCCAATAGAAATAACTACTGCACTCACGCTATGATCAGTAGCCTAAACCAGACCACCAGCCAGTCAGTACAACTTCCAATAGCCATAGCAACATGTCTACCCTGTTAACAGTAGAGAATGGTACTGTACTCACTGTGGTCCTTCCCCTGCCCGGCTGCGGTGGCCACACTGGGCTGGGGTGTTGCAGGCATCAGAGCCTGACGGATGGCCTTCTCCCAGCCCTGGGCCACCTCCATGCCCACGCCCGAGGCTGCCAGCGCAGGGCTGTGGTATTGGCCCCCATTATTCTCCCCAACGTAGTAGACCATGGTGGAGGTGATGATCTCAAAGCAGTGTGGGTTGCTGCCCTGGGCTAGGCTGCTGAGGTCCCTCGACTGTTCCACCTGCAGGATCTCTGAGAGAGGGATCTCCTGTGGGCCATGAGGGAGGGAGGGAAAGAGGGGCAAGAGCGAGAGAGAGAGAGAGAGGGAGAGGGAGAGGGAGAGGGAGAGGGAGAGGGAGAGGGAGAGGAGAGAAGAGAAAGAAAGAAAAAGAAAGAAAGAAAGAAAGAAAGAAAGAAAGAAAGAAAGAAAGAAAGAAAGAAAGAAAGGACAGACAGACAGACAGACAGAATGAGTAAGAGAGAGACCAGGGTCATAACAGACACAAACAAAGAAAGCAATGCCATCACTGCTATTGATTAGGGAGAGAGAGGCACAGAAGACAAATACAACCATGAATACAACCATGATACACATAAAATACCACAGTCTAGTGAATACTCAAAGAAAGACAAGAGAAAGACAGAGAAAGACAAGATTCACTGAATCAATCACTCACAAGATAGACAGTCAGATCAGACGTAAGCAAACACCAAATCCCCCACAAGTCAGAGGTAACCACTGAAAAATCTCCCTCAGTTTAGCACGCGTACCAGAAAGAGTAACTCAAAGTAGGTCCTAGTCCCTTCCCACAGCGCAGTGTATGCACAGCCCCTGTCTAGTGCCCAGCCTCTATCTGACAGATATGTGGTGCAAGGGGCAGTTTGAGCACACTTTAAAAGTCCCCCTTCCCTCCAGCCTCTCTGTCAAATGCAATCAAAGAAGAAGAAGGAAGTCCCTAGCCAATAGGAGTCCCTGTAGTGCCTTGTCTCCCTCATCCTCCTCCCCTTTGGGGGGGGGGTAATCTGCTAGAGACAGAGTGAAGCCCCCTTACCCCCATAAAAGGGTTTTGGAAACCACAAGTATAGGGGTCTCATCTTCAAAAAAGAAGCCTATATGACTTCCAAATGTAGAAAATGGCAGCCATCTGATGCGTCGCCACACAACCACCACCGCTAATCAGATGACTGGAGGTAGAGAGAGGAGAGGAGGGGACAGCCACACGACAGTGGGCTAGGGGCTGAGGAGAACAGGAGAGAGAGAGAGAATGAGCCACCGTTAACCATCGTTGTTATTATGTTTACTTTGACAATGTAAGTGTTTTACTTTCCATGTCAATAAAGTACATTGAATTGAGAGACAGTGGGGGGAAACACCCAAGAGACAGAGGCTACATTGGATAACCTAATGTCACCACTGGCCCAATCTGTGCACACACTAGCAACAACATATAAAACAGAACGACCCATAGGACAATATTTGAGAGAAAAATAAAAAACACATTCACAAACAGCTATTCTTCAATTAGTCTCCTGAACGTCATTAAGTGCTGAGAGCTGAGCTGAGTGCCAAGTTGAAAATAAACAATAATGTAAAGCAGCCTTTCCTATCCACTGTTTTCACTGGGAAGATGGAGGGTGTGTCTGTTCCAGCTAGTTTACCACTGGGATAGTGGAGCTCAGTGTAGAAAATACCTCTTAAACGTGTTGAAAATGGCAGGCCCAATGGTGGCGATCATACAAATACACTTTATTTAGCCTCTGGCCTGCAAATGGGCGAGGTTGGCGAGAGAAGAGGGGGAGGTAAGTAGCGCGAGAGAGATATCGATCAGATAGCCGCGCTCAGGAGTCGGAGAGTATCGATTCTTCTGTAGAGGCTCTAGCTTCTCTCTCCTCGATGCTAGTATCTCTCGATTCTCTCATCTCTATGGCTCTCTCTCTCTCTCTCTCTCTCTCTCTCTCTCTCTCTCTCTCTCTCTCTCTCTCTCTCTCTCTCATACACACACAGACACTGAACATCTCACAAAACAAAAGTAGCTAGAAACCGTAGCAACATAAACACTGTCCCACTGCGTCATATCTCTAGCCACAATTGGGGGAGGTGTCAAAGTGAAACAGCCACATGGTACAGAGGCTGGGAAAGGCTCAAAGTCGCAAGGCTGTACTGAACATGTGGAAGCCTTTACACTGAGGGAATGAGGACTGCCTGCCTGCCTGCCTGGATACCTCAGTCCCCAGTGTCTAATTACACAGCTATTAAGCCCCTGGGGCATGGTACATACTGCTTACACCACTGGTGTCACCGTGGAACTGTCACATACTCTCTGAAGCTTGAGTTAAAGCATTTGGAAATCATAATTACACAGTTCAAATTTATTTGAACTTGACAAGAAACGTTTATGGTGATGGTTTGGCATTTGAAAGAGGATATCTGATATGGATGATGCAACTTGTTACAATGTATTTTATAAATGTGTTGGACATCCCTTTTTTTATCAGATTTCCCCAGCAAAAACCCTTAACATTTTCACAGTAAAATACTGCTGATGACAAGGTGGCTATAGATAGAAGCAAAAGCCCTTTCACTGCAGCCGTGCAGAAATGTCATTGGACTGCCTGTGAAACCACAGGAGGCAGGCTGGGGGATTTTCTCTGTGTCACTGACCTCACTGTAGTTTATAGTTGCAACACAGCAGCCCCCAGTCTTATTCACACACCACCACTGACACCATTACATTGGGCAGGCCCTTTTACATACTGTACACCCCAGACAATAAAACACATCTTGAAATATCAGCAACAAAAAAAACGGGTCAATTTATTTTGGGGAAATTCAGTGTTTGGTTGAAACCATTCATTGGGTTTTAGACACTGTATAGACTCAGAGAATGGTAAATTAATGGTCTAAGGTTATGTTGTTCTGTGATATTTTTAATAGATTGTAAGAAAGTCCAATGTAAATGCAGACTCTCCATTTCATTCCACCATGCCTCTGCCTATGTCAGGTAATAGTTGATCTGTGATGTTGCTCTCTCACCTTATAGAACTTGGCTCCAGTGTCATTCTGGAACAGGCTGAGGCTCTTGGTGTCCAGCCTCCAGTAGTGTCTCTTCCTCAGGTTGTCTCTGCTGGTGTAGTGGACCATCCAGCCCTCCCTCACCATGGTGGAGCTCCTCCTCTTGGTCTGTTTGATGGACTGGACCACCCGCATCAGAGGGATGTTACTGCTGGTGGATGGGCTGGACACACACAGCACTTTTTATGAAAACATTTGTCACAAAGTGCTTAGCAGCAACCTGGACCTGAGCAAGCAGGAGCAATAATGGCAAGGAAGAAGTTAAATAGCTACATGGTCTTTGTGTACACAACTATTGCTCTGATAACTGTAAGTTAACGTACAGCTGTCCCAGTAACGTAAATACCTGATGGTCTTGATGGGCTCCTCGTCCTTCTCGCGGTCCAGGAAAGGAGAGTCCATGTAGAACATCTTGTCATCTGGGGTTGAAGGTTCCTCAGAGTCATCCAGTAGTCCTCTAGTGCTCTCTACATCACTACTGTCCACCTCCATGGTGCTGTCAGAGTCAGGTCCTGGGCTGGCAGGCTCTGTGGACACACACAATGACAGATATGCTACTCAGCTACTGTATATCTCATGACATGGGCATGATACCAATGTGAAATAAAACAGGAAAACAGAAGCTACCTCCATTGAAGGAAACCTCGCCCAAGCAGTCTCTTGGTACCTTTGATGCACACCGCTTATGGCAATTGAATTTACAATCTGAAAAGGAAGTATAGAAAACATGGATTTAATAGCACAACTTGAAACTCTAGCGACAGTAAGGTAAAGAGGTCTAGGAAGATATGGACAGAGGGACATACAAAGAAAAAGAGACAAAGGAAGGTAGGACCTTACCTTTGCACTGCATGCCCTGGCGGAACAGGCCCTTGAGCAGCCGTTTGCAGTACTGGCAGATGGTTGGCCGGGTGTAGGTGTGGATGGCGAAGGTGTGAGGCACCTTGACTCGCCCCAGCACCATCTTCTCCATCCAGATGGGCCGGCCACTCCACGACAGGATCCTCTTCCCTGCCTCCTGGTGGGAGCGCTGCTGCAGGGGACAGATTAAGGAGAGGAGGAGGTGGAAGGAAGAAAGGAGAGAGGGAGAGGGAGAGGGAAGGAGGGGCACATGGAACAAGTATGTGAACCAAGGGAAGGGGGAGTGAGGGAGAGATGAAAAAAAGGAAGGAAGGACATAGCAAAAGAGGGAAGGAGGGGAGGGATGGAGGGTCCGTTTAGTGAGAGAGACAGCATCACAGTGCAAAATGCACAAATATGGGCTAGAATTAACAAGGGGTTCATTTCATTGGTCTAACTGTATTTGCATTGACCTTTCATAAGCACTGGTCACCATGGAGAATATTCCATCCAGCTAGCCTCCATCCAGCTAGCCTCATACAAGCACGTTTCATAATCCTAGTTTATATAATTCAATTTGCTGTCGTGTTTTACAATAAGATATTTCAAGAGATTTGGCAGACAAACTTAGACAATTGATAAGAAACAACTAGACATTACCTAGTAGTTGATGTTTTGCCAACTGACAAATGTGTCTCAATCAGAATTACAGTTAGATTACAATCACATTGAACATATGAGAAAGTAACTGGTTAGAGCTGGTTAGTAACTGTACTGTAGATCAAAACCCTACAGTACATTCACAAGGGGTGTTGATGGACAGCATTTTCGCTTTGTAAGCACTAAACTGTGCAAGGGTGTAACTTTATAAGGGAATGCATTTACATAGCCCCTTTCACTGGGTCTCAAAGCTCTTTACATTGTACAGAATGTATCTTTACCACAGGACATCTCTCTCCACCAATGGAAGCGCAGGTCTTACCTCCTCCAGGACGACCACAGCATGTTCGGTGGGACCAGGGAGGGGCCGGGGGACTGAGAGCGAGGGGCCCGGCGGGGACACGTTGGACAGACGTCTCTTCCTCACCCCACTGCAGTTGTTGGGGATCTTGAAGACACAGCGCTTGTGGTAGTTCAGCCCACATCCTGGAAGTACACAGGGGTCACTAATTACACATAAAGAATAACACACATTCTGTACAGTACACGCTATACGCAACAAACACAAACAGACTGTTTCTTTGGATGTCGGCATTGGGCTTGATAAACTCAGCCATGCAACACTTCATACTCAGCCATAGACATGTCTTGAGATATTTGTGAAGACATATTGAGACATCTTAAGACACGTCTTGGAATAATCAGTCCCAAGAAGGAAAATCAGTAAGTTAGTACAGTAGGGCAGCACCAATTAGATTCTTCCCACCAGCTTAATTCTCTTAAATGTCCACAAGAGGGCTCTACATGCAGTCAATGGATCTCATTCTTCCTCAGAGAAAGCTTTAAAGGCTTTTTAGTGGCATGAAAATAGCAGGGAATAAAATAGATCTGATCCACTGATAACAAATTACATGCAATTCTGCATTCCACAATTCCACATTTAAATGTAATTTGACTAGCTATAGTCCAAATATTTCCTCCAATCTGAGTGTCTGTTGCATTCCTGTCCTGACTGGCCCTGGGGAAGGTTGTGCTATACTGAGGGACAGGCTGAATCCATCGGAGAGGGTAGAGCAGCAGCACTAAAGAGCCTTTGAAGGCTGAGTCCAACGCTTGGCATCAGTACACTGGGCTCCATTCAAACAGGCCGGCTCTTCAAAGGCCTGCTTTAGTAATGGGAGGAAGTCACACACTCCACTGAGGCTTCCTGCTGCACGGCCCTACCAGCCTTAATGTACCCCTCAGACTGCACCTTGGGCTTAGGTTCAAAGTGCGCCCCAGCTTTGATGTGAAAGAGAGCTTGTGTGAGTGTGTGACACAGGCGGCCTGTGGCACCTTAATTAGGGACGACGGGCTCATAGTAACGGATGGAACGGAATCAATGGAATGGTATCAAAGACATCAAACACATGGTTTCCATGTGCTTGGTACCATTCCATTAACTCCATTCCAGCCATTATTATAAGCCGTCCTCCCCTCAGCAGCCTCCTGTTGTGTGTGCGTGTGTGTGTGAGCGTGCGTGCTTACCTTCACATTTGAGCCCCTGGCGAACGAGGCCCCATAGCATCTCCCCACAGTAGTCACAGAAGGTGGGCGCTTTGTAGGAGTGGACATAGAGAGCATGGGGCCGGATCTGGAAGTCCTCTACTGTGGCTAAAGCTGCAATTCAGAGACAACTTAAAACAAAAACATGGCAAACAAAACTAAAGGAAAGCAAATAAACTTCAAACACAGAAACACTGAAACCAAAGAATGAAAATAAAACTAAAGGAAAGCAAATAAACTTCAAACACAGAAACACTGAAACCAAAGAATGAAAATGACAAAAGAAGAAAAGGAATTTAGTTAATATGTTTAGTGTACACTGTAATGCAAAGGCATTTTATGCTCTTTTGTCATCCGGTAATAGTCAGATGATAATAATAATATAATAATAATAATATGCCATTTAGCAGACGCTTTTATCCAAAGCGACTTACAGTCATGTGTGCATACATTTTTACGTATGGGTGGTCCCAGGGATCGAACCCACTACCCTGGCGTTACAAGCGCCGTGCTCTACCAATTGAGCTACAGAGGACCATCTACTGGATCATCCTCACCTGTGATATTGGTATGTCTGTGTGCATACAACTGGCTATAACTCAGATCCAGGGAACAAACTGTTCACACGGTGGAGTCAATGCATCTGTATCTGAGAGTCTGACCTGGGAAGTACCCTATAAGCTCATATGGGAGGCAGTCAGGTACAGTAGGAGATGCCAGAGGGAAAATATGTTATGTTCCGAGGTCATGGTTTTCTCACTAGGGCTCAGTGCTATTACATACCATTAACAACACAGTGCTATAACAGCCTCCTTACAGTAGGGGTCGGTACAGCAGAAATTAACAGCAAGCTACAAGGTTGTCTACAACATTATCTGTTTCAGAGTGATCTGGCATTACAGAGCACACTAAAGACCACAGACAGACAGAGTCTCATTCAACAGAACAGGACCAGAGAAGACCAGATCATATAATGACAATGAGTTAATCAGTTCATAATATGGTTGGGTTTGTTTCCTATCTGGACTGAAATACAAGGTAGGCCCATTACCCAGGGGGCTTTGCTCCATCTTCTGTTGTGGTTTGTGTTAGAGGGATTTGATGAGGTCGTTCTTGGAAGGAACAGTTAGTTCACAGGAGTGACTCATCCAAGATGTGAATAAGAGATCGCTATTTGCTACCAAACCTGTGCAACTGCATCCCCTAAGGACCAGAACTGGCAGTGAGAAGTAGCAGAGCAGGTCCAAATCAAGAGAATCTACACAGAGAAGTCTCTTTCTCACAGTTCTTTTGCATTAATTTATGCTGTTCTGGTTTTACCATTGACCAACAAGGGAATCATGGGGATCTTTTATACCAGAATTTAGGTGGAAAACCCTGTGTGATGTCATGTCACGGATTCAGCCGAGGCTGCTCCTCCTCCTTGCTCGGGCAGGCTTCGGCGTTCGTCGTCCCCGGAGTACTAGCTACTGCCGATCGATGTTTCAGTGTTTGTCTTGTTTGGTCTTTATTGTTTACACCTGTTTCCCATTATGTTGTATTGTATTCCCTATATTACCCCCTGTCTCTCATCGGTTATTGTGTGTGATTGTTCTTGTCATTCCGGCAGTTGCTTTGTGTACGGGTATTGTGTTTTTCTCCCTGTTTGGAGGTTTGTTGTTTTTGTACGTTTATTACTGTGTTCAGTAAAAGTACGCTGCCAGCCGCTCTGTGTCCTGCGTTTGACTTCGCTGACCGCATACACGTCGCGTGACAGAATCACACACCTAGACATGGAGTCAGCAGGAGCGGCGGTGCCAGCTGGATCAATGGAGGAGCGCGTAGCACAACAAGCGGCCATGATCCAGGCTCTCGGCACCGCCATGGAACGGGTGGTGAACACCATGGAGCGATGGGAAAGAGGAGGTTTGCCCACACCTCCTCTGACGATACCACCACCATCAGCTATACCCATCGCTTCACCTCCGGGGTCCAGTGGGATTCGGCTCTCGCTCCCGAGGGCTTATGATGGCACAGCGGCCGGGTGTCAGGGTTTCCTGCTCCAAGTGGAACTCTACCTAGCAACCATCCACCCGGTGCCCTCGGGATACGAGATGTGTCCGCCCTCATCTCCTTTCTGTCCGGCAAGGCGCTGGAGTGGGCCAACGCCGAGTGGGGGGGAATAGACGCCGCTACAGTCAACTATGCAGAGTTCACCCGCCGCTTCAGGGCGGTGTTCGATTATCCCCCAGAGGGGAAGGCGGCGGGATGGAATGAGAGGGCCCTCATCGACCACTACAGGTGCAGCCTGAGGGAGGACGTGCGTCGGGAATTGGCCTGCAGGGACACCAACCTAAGCTTTGATCAGCTGGTGGACATGTCGATTTGCCTAGATACCCTGTTGGCTACCCGCGGACGTCCGGAGTCGAGGCCGTCCATTCCATCCCCCAGCACTTCCGAGCCGAGCCCTATGGAGCTCAGGGGTGCTGGTGCTAGGGAGTCCAGGAGAGAGACCAGGAGAGAGGCCGTCCCCTGCACCAACTGTGGCCGCAGAGGACACACTGCGGGTCGGTGCTGGGGAGGGTCTCCTAGGAATCGAGGCAGTAGCCAGCGCACTGATGAGTCATTCCAGGTGAGTAAGCACCCAACTCACCCAGAGCTCTCTGTTGCACATATGTGTATTTAAGTTGTGTTTCCCGAGGTTTCTCCTCACTCCCAGCATAAGGCGCTAGTAGATTCAGGCGCAGCTGGGAATTTTATCGATCGCCGTTTCACATATAAGTTAGGGATTCCTATTGTACCAGTTGATGTGCCCTTCCCCATCCATGCCCTAGATAGCCGCCCTTTGGGGTCGGGATTGATTAGGGAGGTCACAGCGCCACTTAAGATGAAGACGCAGGAGGGCCATGAGGAGATTATACGGTTATATTTGATTGACTCTCCTGCGTTTCCCGTGGTGTTGGGGCTTCCCTGGTTAACATCACATGACCCCAACATTTCATGGCAACAGAGGGCTCTCAAGGGATGGTCTGATCAGTGTGTCGGGCGGTGTGTAGGTGTTTCCGTAGGGGCAACGACGGTGGAAAGCCCGAACCAAGTTCCCACCATGCACATTCCTCCTGAGTATGCCGATTTGGCACTCGCCTTCTGTAAAAAGAAGGCAACTCAATTACCACCTCATCGACAGGGGGATTGTGCGATAGACCTCCCGGTAGGCGCTGCGCTTCCTCGTAGTCATGTGTATCCTCTGTCTCAGGAGGAGACTGCGGCTATGAAGACATACGTCACCGAATCTCTGAGACAGGGATACATACGATCGTCCACTTCCCCTGCGTCCTCAAGTTTATTTTTTGTGAAGAAAAAAGGATGGGGGTTTACGCCCGTGTATTGATTACTGTGGTCTCAATCAGATTACAATCAAATACAGCTATCCTCTCCCTCTGATTGCTAGTATGATGGAGTCATTACACGGGGCGCGATTCTTCACAAAATTGGATCTCAGGAGCGCGTACAACCTGGTGCGCATTAGGGAGGGAGACAGCATTCAGTACCACCTCGGGTCACTATGAGTACCTCGTCATGCCATACGGTTTAATGAATGCTCCTTCAGTCTTCCAATCGTTTTTGTGGACGAGATTTTCCGGGATTTGCATGGACAGGGTGTAGTGGTGTATATTGATGACATTCTAATATACTCCGCTACACGAGCCGAGCATGTGTCCCTGGTGCGTCGGGTGCTTGGTAGACTGTTGGAGCATGACTTATATGCGAAGGCGGAGAAATGTCTGTTCTTCCAGGAGTCCATCTCCTTCCTGGGACATCGGTTGTCCACGTCAGGGGTGGAGATGGAGATTGACCGCGTTTCAGCCGTGCGTAATTGGCAGACTCCCACCACGGTGAAGGAGGTGCAGCGGTTTTTGGGTTTTGCCAATTACTACCGGAGGTTTATCCGGGGCTTTGGACAGGTAGCAGCTCCCATCACCTCCCTGCTAAAGGGGGGCCCGGTGCGTCTGCAGTGGTCGGCTGAGGCGGACAGGGCGTTTAGACATCTGAAGGACCTGTTCACCTCGGCTCCAGTGCTGGCACATCCGGATCCCTCTTTGGCGTTCCAAGTTGAGGTGGATGCGTCCGAGGCGGGGATCGGTGCTATACTGTCTCAGCGCTCGGGCACGCCACCAAAACTCTGCCCCTGTGCTTTCTATTCTAAGAAGCTCAGTCCGGCGGAGCGCAATTATGACGTGGGGGACAGGGAGCTGCTAGCAGTGGTTCAAGCCCTAAAGGTGTGGAGGCATTGGCTTGAGGGGGCTAAACACCCTTTTCTCATTCTGACTGACCATCGTAACCTGGAGTACATCCGGGCAGCGAGGAGACTGAACCCTCGCCAGGCTAGGTGGGCCATGTTTCTTACCCGATTTGTATTTAAGCTCACTTATAGACCAGGGTCACAGAACGCTAAGGCAGATGCCCTGTCCCGACGATATGACACAGAGGAGAGGTCCATTGAGCCCACTCCCATACTTCCGGAGTCTTGTATGGTGGCACCGGTGGTGTGGGAGGTCGATGCGGACATCGAGCGGGCGTTACGTGCCGACCCTACTCCCCCACAGTGTCTAAAGGGACGGAAGTACGTGCCGCTCGAGGTTCGTGATCGACTGATATATTGGGCTCACACGTCACCCTCCTCTGGTCATCCTGGTATTGGTCGGACAGTGCACTGCCTTAGTGGGAAGTACTGGTGGCCCACTTTAGCTAGGGACGTGAGGGTGTACGTTTCCTCCTGCTCGGTGTGCGCCCAGTGTAAGGCGCGTAGACACCTGCCCAGAGGGAAGTTACAACCCCTACCCGTTCCACAACGGCCGTGGTCTCACCTATCGGTGGATATTGTCACGGACCTTCCCCCCTCCCAGGGGAACACTACGATCTTGGTCGTTGTGGATCGGTTTTCTAAGGCCTGCCTTCTCATTCCTATGCCAGGTCTCCCTACAGCCCTACAAACTGCCGACGCCCTGTTTACTCACGTCTTCCGGCACTACGGGGTGCCTGAGGATATAGTGTCTGATCGGGGTCCCCAATTCACCTCTAGAGTCTGGAGGGCGTTTATGGAACGTCTGGGGGTCTCGATTAGCCTGACCTCAGGTTTTCACCCTGAGAGTAATGGGCAGGTGGAGAGAGTAAACCAGGATGTGGGTAGGTTTCTGAGGTCCTATTGCCAGGACCGGCAGGAGGAGTGGTCGGGGTATATCCCCTGGGCAGAGATAGCCCAAAACTCACTCCGCCACTCCTCCACTAATCTTACGCCTTTTCAGTGTGTGCTGGGTTATCAGCCGGTCCTGGCACCCTGGCATCAGAGCCAGATCGAAGCCCCTGCGGTGGATGAGTGGTTTCGGCGCTCGGAGGAAACATGGAATGCTGCGCATGTCCATTTGCAGCGGGCTATCAGGCGGAAAAAGGCGAGCACCCATCGCCACCGCAGTGAGCCCCTTCGCCTGCCCTGCCGGAAGCTGGGTCGGCGGTTTGTGGGGCCATTTAAAGTCCTGAGGAGATTGAACGAGGTATGTTATAGGTTACAACTGCCCATTAATTACCGCATTAACCCCTCGTTCCATGTGTCTCTCCTCAGGCCGGTGGTAGCTGGTCCACTCCAGGAGAATGAGGTACGAGAGGCTCCTCCGCCCCCACTAGACATCGAGGGGGCTCCGGCGTACTCAGTCCGTTCCATCTTGGATTCGAGGCGTCGGATGGGGGGTCTGCAGTATCTCGTGGAGTGGGAGGGGTACGGTCCGGAGGAACGGTGCTGGGTCCCTAGGAGGGACATCCTAGATCCCTCCCTCTTGAGGGATTTCCACCGGAGTCATCCGACTCACCCTGCTCCGCGTCCTCCTGGCCGTCCCCAAGGCCGGGGTCAAGGGGGGGGGTACTGTCACGGATTCAGCCGAGGCTGCTCGGGCAGGCTTCGGCGTTCGTCGTCCCCGGAGTACTAGCTACTGCCGATCGATGCTTCGGTGTTTGTCTTGTTTGGTCTTTATTGTTTACACCTGTTTCCCATTATGTTGTATTGTATTCCCTATATTACCCCCTGTCTCTCATTGGTTATTGTGTGTGATTGTTCTTGTCATTCCAGCAGTTGCTTTGTGTACGGGTATTGTGTTTTGTACGTTTATTACTGTGTTCAGTAAAAGTACGCTGCCAGCCGCTCTGTGTCCTGCGTTTGACTTCGCTGACCGCATACACGTCGCGTGACATGTCACTAACTATTTGGGTGGGGTTTTGTGTTTCAGTGGGTTTATGGGTGTTTTTTTTCAGGACCAATTTTCTAATAAGATCAAGACGAAATCCCAGCATCCCACGCAAGATGCACCAGGGACATTCTCAGTAGCTGTTGCCATGACGAGATACATATGGACACACAGCAACTCCATATGAATAATATATATTTTATCAACTTTATAGATTAATTTCCATAAAAAAATAAGCTGAAATGTGGTTGCTGATAACTTGAACATGATTGTCTTATTGATTAGACAGTTTATGTCAGGAGGAATTTGTTTCTTTGAAAGTTACTTTCTTTAAGGTTTAGCAACAGTAAACAAGCTAAGGCAGGGGTTCTCAAACCTTTTGGGTCCGGGGACCCCTTTTGTGATAGCAAATTCATCAAAATCAGAACACAACTCGAGTGAGATAAAAATAGCATACAAGGAGTTTTAATCTGACTTCGGCAGTGAATGGCTGGACAAACCAAGTTTCGGGCCCTGGAAAGGAACATTTTAAAGGCTAGCCTCTCTGCATCAGAGAGAACATTTAACAGTTTTCAAGCTAATTTCCTGCAATTCTACAGACTTTGTCATGTGGCAGAGAGATTTTCTGATGTCGCAGCTTTAAATCATGCAATTCATTTTTTTTTTTTACATGAGGCAGAGAGAAAACTAATAATCATTGGGGGAATACAAGAATTCAAGAACTGTGGATACCAATATCCCTGTTATATCCAATATCCATGTTGCCCAGGGTTGTATTGTATTGTATTACACCCTCTAAACGTATTCCATGGATCCCTTGGCCAAAATTTGGTTTAATCTGTTGTTGTTAGTAATATTCATATATATATAAAAATATATATATTTTGAGATCTGGCCGAGGACCCCCTGCACACCCCACTTTGAGAAACCCTGAGCTAAGGCATGAGACATCTGAAACAAAAAATATGTTTGGAGAACCAGATTTTGTGTTAAACTTCAAAGCGGAGGAAGAACTTAAAAAAGTCACATGCCATCACACTATTCATAGCTCCCTGTCACAAACAGAGAAATAAGGTATTCATGAGCTTTTCAAACACATCGAGGAAAGAAACGCACAGCCAATTAACGGCCTCAACTTTATGAAATGGAGTTTGAGATGTTTTGCATCAATCTCCACAGAAGATTGAGCCAATAAGGAGTTTTTCACAAGGAGCAGGCCTGACATCAATGTGATGTCTGATTGTTTTCATTTTTGACTAATCAGGCTTCACAAGTGTCCATCAGACATAATTCAAAGGTTATTGTTTGTAGCATTCTTCACAGACTAAAAGTGCTATAAAACAAATATCATTTTCACATGCGTATACAGTGCCTTGCAAAAGTATTCATCCCCCTTGGCGTTTTTCCTCTTTTGTTGCATTACAACCTGTAATTTAAATGGATTTGTATTTGTATTTTATGTAATGGACATACAGTCGTGGTCAAACGTTTTGAGAATGACACAAATATTAATTTTCACAAAGTCTGCTGTCACAGTTTTTATGATGGCAATTTGCATATACTCCAGAATGTTATGAAGAGTGATCAGATGAATTGCAATGAATTGCAATATTCCTCTTTGCCATGAAAATTAACTTAATCCCCAAAAAACATTTCCACTGCATTTCAACCCTGCCACAAAAGGACAAGCTGACATCATGTCAGTGATTCTCTCGTTAACACAGGTGAGAGTGTTGACGAGGACAAGGCTGGAGATCACTCTGTCATGCTGATTGATTTAGAATAACAGACTGGAAGCTTTAAAAGTAGGGTGGTGCTTGAAATCATTGTTATTTCTCTGTTAACCATGGTTACCTGCAAGGAAACACGTGCCGTCATCATTGATTTGCACAAAAAGGGCTTCACAGGCAAGGATATTGCTGCTAGTAAGATTGCACCTAAATCAACCATTTATCGGATCATCAAGAACTTCAAGGAGAGAGGTTCAATTGTTGTGAAGAAGGCTTCAGGGCGCCCAAGAAAGTCCAGCAAGCGCCAGGACCGTCTCCTAAAGTTGATTCAGCTGCGGGATCGGGGCACCATCAGTGCAGAGCTTGCTCAGGAATGGAAGCAGGCAGGTGTGAGTGCATCTGCACTCACAGTGAGGCGAAGACTTTTGGAGGATGGCCTGGTGTCAAGAAGGGCAGCGAGGAAGCCACTTCTCTCCAGGAAAAACATCAGGGACAGACTGATATTCTGCAAAAGGTACAGGGATTGGACTGCTGAGGACTGGGGTAAAGTCATTTTCTCTGATGAATCCCCTTTCCGATTGTTTGGGGCATCCGGAAAAAAGCTTGTCCGGAGAAGACAAGGTGAGCGCTACCATAAGTCCTGTGTCATGCCAACAGTAAAGCATCCTGAGACCATTCATGTGTGGGGTTTCTTCTCAGCCAAGGGAGTGGGCTCACTCACAATTTTGCCTAAGAACACAGCCATGAATAAAGAATGGTACCAACATATCCTCCGAGAGCAACTTCTCCCAACCATCCAAGAACAGTTTGGTGACGAACAATGCCTTTTCCAGCATGATGGAGCACCTTGCCATAAGGCAAAAGTGATAACTAAGTGGCTCGGGGAACAAAACATCGACATTTTGGGTCCATGGCAAGGAAAATCCCCGAACCTTAATCCCATTGAAAACTTGTGGTCAATCCTCAAGAGGCGGGTGGACAAACAAAACCCCACAAATTCTGACAAACTCCAAGCATTGATTATGCAAGAATGGGCTGCCATGAGTCAGGATGTGGCCCAGAAGTTAATTGACAGCATGCCAGGGCGGATTGCAGAGGTCTTGAAAAAGAAGGGTCAACACTGCAAATATTGACTCTTTGCATAAACTTAATGTAATTGTCAATAAAAGCCTTTGACACTTATGGAATGCTTGTAATTATACTTCAGTATACCATAGTAACATCTGACAAAAATATCTAAAAACACTGAAGCAGCAAACTTTGTGAAGACCAATACTTGTGTCATTCTCAAAACTTTAGACCACGACAGTACACAAAATAGTCCAAATTGGTGAAGTGAAATGAAAAAAATCCCTTGTTTCAAAAAAGTATTAAAAATAAATAACGTAAAATTGGTGCGTGCATATGTATTCACCCCCTTTGCTATGAAGCCCCTAAATAAGATCTGGTGCAACCAATTACCTGGGACGGCAGGTAGCTTAGTGGGTAAGAGCGTTGTGCCAGTAACCGAAAGGTTGCTGGTTCTAATCCCCGAGCCGACTAGGTGAAAAATCTGTCGATGTGCCCTTAAGCAAGGCACTTAACCCTAATTGCTCCTGTAAGTCGCTCTGGAGCGTCTGCTAAATGACGTAAATGTAAGAAGTCACATTATTAGTTAAATAAAGTCCACCTGTGTGCAATCTAAGTGTCACATGATCTCAGTATATATACTGACAGATCACATGATCTGTCACATGATCTCAGTATATATACACCTGTTCTGAATGGCCCCAGAGTCTGCAACACCACTAAGCAAGGGGCACCACCAAGCAAGCGGCACCATGAAGACCAAGGAGCTCTCCAAACAGGTCAGGGACAAAGTTGTGGAGAAGTACAGATCAGGGTTGGGTTATAAAAAAAATATCCGAAACTTTGAACAATCCATTATTAAAAAATGGAAAGAATATGGCACCACAACAAAACTGCCAAGAGAGGGCTGCCCACCAAAACTCACAGGCAAGGAGGGCATTAATCAGAGAGGCAACAAAGAGACCAAAGATAACCCTGAAGGAGCTGCAAAGCTCCACAGTGGAGATTGGAGTATATGTCCATAGGACAACTTTAAGCCGTACACTGGGCTTTACGGAAGAGTGGCCAGAAAAAAGCCATTGCTTAAAGAAAAAAATAAGCAAACACATTTGGTGTTTGCAAAAAGACATGTGGGAGATTCCCCAAACATATGGAAGTCTGGCGCAAACACCTCTCATCACCCCGAGAACACCATCCCCACAGTGAAGCGTGGTGGCAGCATCATGCTGTGGTGATGTTTTTTCCATTGGCAGGGACTGGGAAACTGGTCAGAATTGAAGGAATGATGGATGGTGCTAAATACAGGGACATTTCAGTCTTCCAGAGATTTGAGACTGGGACGGAGGTTCACCTTCCAGCAGGACAATGAACCTAAGCATACTGCTAAAGCAACACTTGAGTGGTTTAAGGGGAAACATTCAAAGCCCAGACCTCAATCCAATTGAGAATCTGTGGTATGACTTAAAGATTGCTGTACACCAGTGGAACCCATCCAACTTGAAGGAGCTGGAGCAGTTTCACCTTGAAGAATGGGCAAAAATCCCAGTGGCTAGATGTGCCAAGCTTAATTGCTGCAAAAGGTGGCTCTACAAAATATTGACATATTTCTTCTTTGTTTGACAATTTTTTTTATTTTGCATCTTCAAAGTGGTAGGCATGTTGTGTAAATCAAATGATACAAACCCCCCAAAAATACATTTTAATTCCAGGTTGTAAGGCAACAAAATAGGAAAAATGCCAAGGGTGGTAAATACTTTCACAATACTTTTTGTATGTCATATCCTGTAAAATGGGAGGGATACTGAGTGAGAAACAAACAGTGAGTGGGATTCTTGGAGCAAACAGCCCTCTCTACATTTCCAAACCCCTGGTTAGGGATGATCTTGTCACACCCTGATCTGTTTCACCTGTCTTGTGCTTGTCTCCACCCCCCACCAGGTGTCTCCTATTTTCCCCCCTTATCTCCTGTGTATTTATACCTGTGTTTTCTGTTTGTCTGTTGCCAGTTCGTTTTGTTTTGTCAGGTCTTACCAGCATGTTTCCCATTTGTCCTGTTCTCAAGTTTTGTTTTCTAGTCTTCCCGGTTTTGACCTTTCTGCCTGTCCTGACCCTGAGCCTGCCTGCCATTCTGTTCCTGATTGACTCTGCCTTGGATTACGAACCTCTGCCTGCCCTCGACCTGCCCTTTGCCTGTCCCTTTGTTATAATAAATATTCGGAGAATCAAACAATCCGGCTCCTGTGTCTGCATCTGGGTCATATCCTGAGTCGTGATAGACCTGTCCACTCTTTTCAGAGCCGCCCTGCACATCCCAGCATGTTTATACTCAGTGGGTCCACTACAATCACTTACTGCAGAGAAAACAAGCCAGGCCCTTTGAGTCCAGCGCCAAGAGAAATCAGCTCTGGCCTCTAACAGTGAGGGAGGTTTTAGGACCAAACCACTGAGCTGTTTGTCTCTCTCAGTCACATAACTGAACAACAGGTCTCAAAGAATTGACCGAAATGAATGGTGTCTTTAAAGTATTAATTCAAATTAAAAGCAACTAAGGGAAGGAAAAATAGTATAATTAGAAAATTCCTGTTTTCAGTCTGCAAGACTAGAACAGCAAAGAATCTTGAGATTGTATTGCACCAGTTTGACACATGTAGATCTCTTCTGCAGATGTAGGCCAACTACAAGGCCAAGACAAGGTAGCAGTGTGGGTGTAGAGCTTGTGGATGTGGAATTACTCTGACCTCACACAGTCATCCAGGTGCGACACTGAGGCTGACCCCTGTCAACCGTCTCAACCCAGAGGGAAGCAGACAGAGGTAACCAGAGGTCTCATGGATACACTCCTCTGGGGCTCGCTGATAAACACCAGCAGATCAGATCGATCCGGCAGCAGAGTTATTTTATGTCTGGATCCATGCAGACAATGCTTCTAGTTCTACCCCAGGGAGAGAGAGAGGGAGAGAGGGATGTCCAGTCCAGGTGCTTCCCAATTGAGACGGATGGAACAGAATGCTTTTACAAGCCAGTGTTTGTTACACTCAATAGTCAGCAGGAAACTGAAATCATGTGTGACAGGAAAAGAGAGGGGAAACTAGCCACCTGTGTCTATGGAGGTGCGCTTTAGATAGTAGTGAAGCAGTCCTGTACGACACACAGGTTTGAATTAGAGAAAAACTTTACTGAATTAGTACAGATAGCCTACAGAACAGGTGAAAAAGTTAATAAAAACCGTTAGAGCTGAACCCAGATCAGTACTACGGTACTCACCAGAGAGCACCACCTCTATGAGATCTCCCTCGTGGATATCCTCTGCTGACGTCAGCCTCTGGAGAATGTTCTCAGAGTTCAAGTCATGGCGGAAGAGCAGGATTTTGTCATACATGCCAAAGAAGCCGCACTCTGGGAACTGGGGAGGAAGAAGAAAAATAGTTGTGAGTATCCACTATATGCAGAAGACATTGGGTGGAACACTCCTAATCTACATCTCGACCAACAGTATACACACAATACCTCATTTACACTTTTTGAAATTGGCATCAGCTGATCAAGGCCCTGTCATCATATTCATTCAACGGTTGTTTGCTTTTCTTTTTTCCCTCTTATTTGGTTTGGTGACATTTATGATTATGTTCAGTGCAGTTTGTCATTTTTACTGGACAAGCGCTACTAATTTGTGGTGGGCTCCCATCTGATGAAGAGGAGTTTATTTTGTATAGAGCTCCTTCTCTGACTCATGGAGTAATGGCTGCCTTCATACAGTCATCATAGCCAGAGCCAGCAGGCCGGTGGTGTAGGAACAGAACGTGGGCGAAGACACGGGATGTGTGGAATGAACATTAGGCTGAATATCACCACAGAGAGAGAGAGAGAGAGAGTGAGCCTGAAACACAGCTGTTTAATTCACCCTAGCCACAATGAGTCACACACACACACACTCTCCCGTTAACTACTTCCTATGGCTCACGTCAGCAGTCAACGTGGAGGATGAAGGAGAATTTAAAACACACTGGCTCAGGAAAAGAGCTCACATTCAAACACCTTTATTCCCCTGAAACACTGCAACACTGGACTGCACTGAATACAGCGGAAGGAAATACCACTCAACTGGCCATTCAATACAGCATGCCACCGTTTTCCATACAGCAATTACAGTAGGCAGAGTGCCATTCATTTTGCTCTATTGAGCTCAAAATGTCCCCATTAGGGGTAGGTTATTGATAATGAAAAATTATATCAAAACCATTCTGACATAGCCATTGTAATAACATTGTAATAACTTTTCTAGATGGTGGTGTGGACTGTCAGTGATCATTTAACTACTGCAGCAATTCTATCCAGCAGCATTAAGGGCAAAATGACGACTCAGCATCTGCTAGAGGACATTTCCATGTAAAAAGCTCCATGAGCACTAACATCTGAAGTTCATAGGAGCACATCAAATGAAAGCTCAGAGTCTATATCTAAACCAATCATAGACGTCTGTTTCACAAGTTTAAAAACTAAGAGTCTATATCTAAACCAATCGTACATGTCTGTTTCACAAGTTTGGACAGCACAGTAGAGTACAGTACAGTAAAGAAAATAAAAGCAGTGTATGTCAGTACAATACAGTACGGCACACTAGAGTAGAGTACAGTATAATTTACAGTACTGTACTGAACTCTGCTGTGTTGTGCTGTACGGTACTCTACTGTGCTGTACTTAGTTCCAAACTTGTGAAACATACACGTCTATGATTGGTACAGATTTGGTCCAGTCCGGACTAACCAAATTTGGTCTTGTTTGGGGGCGGCGCTCATTAGAATAATAGCCATTGTGTAGAATAATACCAAAACATGCAAAGGAGGATATTACATTTTTCTCCCTTTGTGTACCTATTTAGGATACATCACCATGAAGAAAATTACATTCATAATTATGCATTTCTTTATAGTGCAGATCAAGAACCCATGATGTCATTCTGTTACTGGGTGTTAATCCACTTCACTTATTGTACGATTTTCAGTGGAAATTGTTTAAAGTAGTCCTTGTGCATAGAGTTGTATGGTTTGTTTAACTTTGCAATCAATGGTATTTGTTTCGTATGCTTTTAAAGTGAAAAATCAGAGTTTCAGCATCATTCTGTTACTGTGGAATTGCCCTAGAATAGACAGAACTGTCCTACTCGTTGACACTGAGTGAGTAGCCTTGGTTCTCAGCAGGCAGTCTGAGGTGAGCTAACTTCAACGGTATTATCCAGTAGCTGTGATGTAACCTCCAGGCAGCCAGGCAGTCAGTCAGGGCCGGTGAGGGGAGGGTCATGCTCTGGACTCTCGGATGAGGTAATGGCTCAGGCCAGCAGACTTATAGTGAGTGAAACAGAGGAGAGGAGAGTGGAGGAGGAGGGGAAAACATCCTGAGAGGAGTGACAGAGGAGCTGCAGCCTCCTGCAACACGGGCAGGAAGTGAGCGAAGTCAATACTGAGTCACTTCCTGCTCCCAGACCCACAGCTTCCACACAGCTTCCACTGCTCATGTCAAGACACAGACGTTAAACACACACAGGTTATGCACACATACAACACACAGGCCCACACACATCTGCCTACAGTACATCTTCTTTTCATTCACACAAATGCATAATCCATTGTGGTGTCATGTAGCAAATCCAACATTTCCACTGGACATGCAGTTCTGTACACTGAAAAAGTACCCTGTCTCTTGCTAAGCCTTCCTACACTGTATGACGCTGTGACCATGGATCTCTCACTCACTTTCTTACCTCACAGGGGAGATCATGCCCTCAGCCTGGCAGGAAAACGATGCCCAGTTTCTGTGAAATGCCTTTCTTCACTCCTCTCATCTCTCCCTTTATGTTATGATAAAGTGTGTTTCCCCAACCCCTCTGCCTGCCAGCCAGCCAGCCAGCCAGCCAGCCAGCCAGCCTTCATCATCAGATGTAACGGGTTGATAAGGGCTGTCAGGGAGGAAGAGAGCCAGAGAAGGGATGGATGTAGGGGGCCATCCTGTGTGGCGCTCATCGAAGCGGGCACCTGGTGGAGGGCCTGTGCAGGCCTGTGTCTCGCTGCCAAGATGGCTGCTCTGGCATGGCCACCTAACACAGCTGCTTCCCTATCAGGGTCACACACAATGCCCACGGAACAATGTGAGCCGTAACACAACGAGGCCCACGGGCACCAGGGAAGGCACACGGTACGGCAGAGGGGAACACCTGGAGCTACTAAAATGCTCCTCTCCAGGGTGGTGGAGCCACGGCTGCAGGCTGACACCAGGAAAGAGGACAGGGGTAGGGGCTAGACCGACAAACTATGCAAACTGCTTTTAAATGACACTTGTGAGATACTGTAGAGCATAAACCAGAATTCCTCTACTGGATTAACCCTTAAATAAACATCTTTATACACACACCGCTAAACAGCTCATTCAATGTGCCTAGTCATCCTCTCTCCTCATCCACTTCCAGTAAAGTCCCTAGAGCAGCAGAGCAGAGCCTGGCTGAAGGCCATTAAATGGCCTAATCACGTAAACAATGATAAACTCCTGCGTTTAAAAGGCCTGCTTTATTCCCATTGTGTATGGAACAGGCTCTGTCTGTTAGCTGCTGCCTTACATAACTGCATCATCATCCCCAGCGCTCCCAGCTGGCTAGCCGTAGCTTCTAGTCTAAAACCTTTATACGCAGCAGACCAGTCTGCATCTCCTCCTGTAGGCCTGATTCAGTCTGATGAAGGTCCATAGACTGAAGCGTCGCTATGCTTTTGGTCTGTGTAGCCTAATCCACCCATGGCCAGTACTAAGACTGTAGACTAGTGGAAAGGAGGGCTGAGGAGGCAAGGGTAAGGGACAGTGAGGGCACTCAAACACACCATAACAATGACCCCAGTGTTAGGGCTACTGCTCCTGGCTTTAATGTAACTGAGATAAGCTGGGGTCCTGTGGAGAGCAGGGAGTTATGGGAAAAAATATATACGATTCCAGAGGAGGAGAAGCAACCGCAAGGCTCTGTGTGTGTGTGTGTGTGTGTGTGTGTGTGTGTGTGTGTGTGTGTGTGTGTGTTGGCCCTGGCTGTGAAGACAGGGTGCTGAAAGGAGGGTGTGAGAGTGAGGAGAGCTCAGTGGATAGGGATCTTATGATAGCTGCCCTGCTTTCCACAAGATCCAACTTCACTGGGCTTGGTGTATTCAGCGCTTTGGGTTTTATTGAGGAAGATTGCAGGAGTTTATAATGATGTAGATATGACTAAACAACATCAAGAACGTATACCTTTACACAGCTTTATGTTTCCAAAACAAAAGGCCCATCCTAAACCCTGTTATCATTTAAAGTGATTGATGGCATGGCTCTTCCTGTGTCCAGAGTGAGATGTCAGGGTGAGGTTTTCCTCCATACGTCTGACATGCCTGCTCTCCAGACCCAGGGCTCAGGGCCAGCCCCCTCCACTTCCCCTCCTGCCCTGCTCCGAGACCTGGTCAGTTGGAGTCACCTCCTGTTGGCAATGACTGCAACACTTTCCACAGCACATGGTTCCCATTCCAGCACGGGAGCAGCCACAGGCACCTCAGGGCTACAGAGGGGTGCAGTTCTGTACTGGGGAAAGGGCTGGGTAGAGAGCTGTGGAGAGGGCTGTTCATCTCCATTCTTGGTATGAGGAAGCCCATGTTAGGAAAGATCATGGGGGCATGAGGACACAGGAGGGAAGAGAATAAGCTGTGCAAGTTACTGAATAGTGTAGATCCAAAATGGGGAATAGCCTGGTGATTGGTTGCACGGGGAGGCACTTGCATTAGCAAGCTCTATCGTTGCTTTGTTGTTGTTAGGCAATAAAGATGACTAATGTAACAGAGTGGCATCCAGGCTGGTTAAAGAAATGACACACAGCTCGGATCAGGTCCCATAGTGACTAAGCATGGCCTTTGTAATCAACACACACTGTGGGGCTAATAGCATACAGCCATTCAGCCCCACTCTGCACAAAGAGGCGCAGCGCGACCACACACACACCAAAGACACCAGCATGCCAAATCTGTGTGTGAGGTCCGCGCGGCAGACTGGAAAGCAGAGTGGAAAAGGGCTTTGACGTGGTAAGCTTTTGATAAACTGACTAATCTGCCATTGATATGCTAAATCCCGTTAGAGGCAGAAAGAGAGGGAAGGGGAGGATGGATGGGGCAGACGTGAAATATGGTACATTTCAATGAGTGGCAAAAACAAATAGCCTAGGAACAGACATGGAAAATCGAGTCTGACACAACTGTTCTGGTTTGAATGAACAAAACCATTTGTCTCAGGCTGCAGTTTGTCTCCGAGAAACAAGATTTACTTCTTGCCTAACTGCAACACATTTCAAAATAACAATGAATCTAAGATGCAAATGAATTTGAGTATTTATGTTGTTATAAATCACCAAGACTGCTCAAAGTAAGAATAACACACAGAATTTCTAGTATTCAGTAAAAGTAACAAGTACAAACAAGATAGAATTATGCTATATCTTGGCTGGTTTCCATGTATGGTGATCAGTGAAACATTCTGTTGATGCCTTTAAAAGCAAAACTACTTTCAAATTCAGCCAAGGAAATGGGACATGTATTGCATGCTGTATGCTGGTGTGTGTGTGTGTGTGTGTGTGTAGGGATATTTCTGCCATTTAAATCCTTGGGCGGGCCGCCTAAGCGCTTTTTTCGGGTCGCCTAAATCCAAACTGTAAAAAATCCCCAAATATATATATATATTTTAATTATTATTAATTTTCAAGATGGAAAACCGCTTTCAGAGTAAACTTCAACAACTAAAAACAGATACAGTATAAACTATGTTGAAAAGATAATGGACCTACAGTGCCTTCAGAAAGTATTCACACCCCTTGACTTACTCCACATTTTGTTGCGTAGCGCTGAGCGATGAACCGAAATGTCAGTTATTTTTCAGTTTTTAAACAACTAATTGACCGAAGTCGGTTCAATTATTTGAATTCCATTTAGTTCGGTTTTTCTCTGTGAGATCAATGTGCACATTGATCTCACAGAGATCCAGCCTGAACTGTGCGATGTAGTAGGAAGTTGTAGTTTCCAACAGGACAATATTCTACATAATTTAGCACATAAAACATGGTAATTAACTACAATGACCATAATCCATTGCGTGTCTACTTGTCCGGTCTGTGTTTCTTTTACACCTGCTACGGAAGAGACTGAATAATGAGCGGGATATAGAGAGTGGCTGTTGTTTCGTGAGGTATCTCTACCTGAAAATACATGATCTAAGTGATTGATAGTTGGTATGCAGCAGTCATAAAAGTATGCCTTAATTACTTTGAAGAACTACAAAATATTGATTTTGTCAGACTGCATAGGCAGCAGCTCTATAGAGATGTTGACTTGAAATGAAATAATAAAGTAATCAAATAAAACATGTAATATACACAACAACTGAAATATTTTATTAAAGTCAAGTAATGTGAATAAATTATGGTTAATAAGTGATAAGCAGTAATGGGCAGTCACTATCATCATGATACTTGTATTAATTGAACCTTAATTGAACAAAATTGAAAACCGTGATAATATTTTAATAATCAAACCAAAACTGACCTCAAAAAGCGCTAATCGCTCAGCACTATTGTTGTGTTACAAAGTTGGATTAAAATAGATTTAATTGTCATTTTTTCCTCAACAATTTACACAAAATACTCTGTAATGTTAAAGTGGAAGAAAAATTCGAACATTTGTAAAAGATTCATGAAAAATAAAACACTAATATATCTTGATTTGATAAGTATTCAACCCCCTGAGTCAATACATGTTAGAATCACCTTCGCCAGCGATTACAGCTGTGAGTCTTTCTGGGTAAGTCTCTAAAAGCTTTCCACACCTGGATTGTCCAACATTTGCCCATTATTCTTTAAAAAAGTATTCAAGCTCTGTCAAATTGGTTGTTGATCATTGCTTCACAACCATTTTCAGTTCTTGCAATAGATTTTCAAGCAGATTTAAGTCAAAACTGTAACTATCCCACTCAGGAACATTCCCTGTCTTCTTGGTAAGCAACTCCAGTGTAGATTTGGCCTTGTGTTTTAGGTTATTGTCCTGATGAAAGTTGAATTAATCTCCCAGTGTCTGGTGGAAAGCAGATTGAACCAGGTTTTCCCTCTAGGATTTTGCCTGTGCTTAGCTCCATTCCATTTCTTTTTTCACCTGAAAAACTCCCCAGTCCTTAATGATTACAAGCATACCCATAACATGACGCAGCCACCACTATGAAAATATGAAGAGTGGTACTCAGTAATATGTTGTATTCGATTTGCCCCAAACATAATGATTTGTATTCAGGACATAAAGTTAATTTCTTTGCAGTTTTACTTTACTGCCTTATTGCAAACAGGATGCAACAGGCTTCCTTCTTTTCACTCTGTCAATTAGGTTAGTATTGTGAAGTAACTACAATGTTGTAGATCCATCCTCAGTTTTCTCCTAGCACAGCCATTAAATTCTGTATAACTGTTTTAAAGTCACCATTGGCCTCATGGTGAAATCCGTGAGCGGTTTCCGTCCTCTCTGGCAACTGAGTTAGGAAGGACGCCTGTATCTTTGTAGTGACTGGGTGTATTGATACACCATTCAAAATGTAATTAATAACTTCACCATGCTCAAAGGGATATTCAATATCTGCTTCTTTTTCTTTTTACCCATTTACCAATAGGTGCCCTTCTTTGCGAGGCATTGGTAAACCTCCCTGGTCTTTGTGGTATAATATGTGTTTGAAATTCACTGCTCGACTGAGGGACCTTACAGATAATTGCATGTGTGGGGTACAGAGATGAGGTAGTCATTCAAAAATCATGTTAAACACTATTATTGCACATAGAGTGAGTCCATGCAACTTATCTCGTGACTTGTTAAGCACATTTTTACTCCTGAACATATTTAGGCTTGCCATAACAAAGGGGTTGAATGCTCTTTGACTCAAAAGTTTTCAGCTTTTCATTTTTATAAATTTTGAATAAAATAATTCCACTTTGACACTATGGGTATTGTGTGTAGGCCAATGACAAAATCTCAATTGAATAAATGTTATAAATTCAGGCTGTAACACAAAATGTGGAAAAGTCAAGGGATGTTAATACTTTCTGAAGGCACTGCATATATATTTTTTTACAATATAATCTTTGAGAACTAACAATCACCAAAGTAAAACCTAGACAGTCAGGGAGAATAGAAAATTCCAAAAACAACATTAGTCATGGAAAAATACATAGAATTGCAGGAAATTAGCTTTAAAACTACAATATTTTCTCTCAGCTACATCGCAAAATACAGTGGGGGAAAAAAGTATTTAGTCAGCCACCAATTGTGCAAGTTCTCCCACTTAAAAAGATGAGAGAGGCCTGTAATTTTCATCATAGGTACACGTCAACTATGACAGACAAATGGATAATTTTTTTCTCCAGAAAATCACATTGTAGGATTTTTAATGAATTTATATGCAAATGATGGTGGAAAATAAGTATTTGGTCACCTACAAACAAGCAAGATTTCTGGCTCTCACAGACCTGTAACTTCTTCTTTAAGAGGCTCCTCTGTCCTCCACTCGTTACCTGTATTAATGGCACCTGTTTGAACTTGTTATCAGTATAAAAGACACCTGTCCACAACCTCAAACAGTCACACTCCAAACCCCACTATGGCCAAGACCAAAGAGCTGTCAAAGGACACCAGAAACAAAATTGTAGACCTGCACCAGGCTGGGAAGACTGAATCTGCAATAGGTAAACAGCTTGGTTTGAAGAAATCAACTGTGGGAGCAATTATTAGGAAATGGAAGACATACAAGACCACTGATAATCTCCCTCGATCTGGGGCTCCACGCAAGATCTCACCCCGTGGGGTCAAAATGATCACAAGAACGGTGAGCAAAAATCCCAGAACCACACGGGGGGACCTAGTGAATTACCTGCAGAGAGCTGGGACCAAAGTAACAAAGCCTACCATCAGTAACACATTACGCCGCCAGGGACTCAAATCCTGCAGTGCCAGACGTGTCCCCCTGCTTAAGCCAGTACATGTCCAGGCCCGTCTGAAGTTTGCTAGAGTGCATTTGGATGATCCAGAAGAGGATTGGGAGAATGTCATATGGTCAGATGAAACCAAAATAGAACTTTTTGGTAAAAACTCAACTCGTCGTGTTTGGAGGACAAAGAATGCTGAGTTGCATCCAAAGAACACCATACCTACTGTGAAGCATGGGGGTGGAAACATCATGCTTTGGGGCTGTTTTTCTGCAAAGGGACCAGGACGACTGATCCGTGTAAAGGAAAGAATGAATGGGGCCATGTATCGTGAGATTTTGAGTGAAAACCTCCTTCCATCATCAAGGGCATTGAAGATGAAACGTGGCTGGGTCTTTCAGCATGACAATGATCCCAAACACACCGCCTGGGCAACGAAGGAGTGGCTTCGTAAGAAGCATTTCAAGGTCCTGGAGTGGCCTAGCCAGTCTCCAGATCTCAACCCCATAGAAAATCTTTGGAGGGAGTTGAAAGTCTGTGTTGCCCAGCGACAGCCCCAAAACATCACTGCTCTAGAGGAGATCTGCATGGAGGAATGGGCCAAAATACCAGCAACAGTGTGTGAAAACCTTGTGAAGACCTGTGTCATTGCCA